AGATTCCATAGTATTCTTTTCACTTTCTATATACCTCCGTATACTTGTAGGATATTCTAGATATTCAGTCTGACATGTATATAAGAAGCTCGTACTGCTCAATAACAAGCCAGACTCGAGCTGGTCTTTACTCACCCACTTTCCTCTCATCTGTCTCCTCAGCCTTGTCGTAGCCCAGTCCAGTTGGATTGTAGGTTGCTGACATTAGCTCGAGTCTCCACCAACTGCCCTATGACGATCCTCGTCACTTCCACTCCAACCATCACCCATCTCCACACGACGATCCACCCAATACACACATCCGACTCTCACCCTAACTCCTAACCCTACCAAATTCTATCGCATCAAGACCCGGACCCCTGGAACCCTTTTCCGTGCACTTGCACAACTTTTACCACATCACATCCCCGAAGCCACCTCTGTAATCACTAGCCCTTAGGCAGCTAGACAGAGCTCCGTCCAATTAGAATCGTACCCTGCCCTACCATAGGCAGCGTTACACGCTTTGCAGCAGGCAAGCAGATATTCCTGAGTACGACGTGGCAACTGGTTGCAGCCGGGCGTCGGAAAAGCGATAACAGTTAGATCAACGATCCCTTTTCGGGCGTCGGACCGAAGAGAAGCAATTGCTCTTTGGACTGTTATATTATCTCTAGAACTGTATTAAGATAGCGTTTCGGTTCTTTTTTCAAAAAAACCCTATCTTTGGCGAGTTCTACCCCTGATCTGGTCGTTACAACACGATTAGTCCCAGGGTTTGCTGCAATCAGCCTCACAGACCCAACAATCCATGACCACGCCTTCTTGTGATTGCAGAGGACATATGCATCGAGAACTAGAAGAGAGATCCATCTACATACGTGGAGATAACGTACGGTACTGTATGTAACAACTGTGCCCACATTCCCCAGACAATAGCAGTCGTTGTCTTCGGTGCAGAGAAGGATTACGTGGAAAACTGCTACAAAGAGTTCCCACAGGAGCACCTTCGGAATCCCTCGCAACCCTGCAACCCGTAGCATCTAGTTCAGAACCCAGAACCAGACAAGATACTCTTGAATCAGTCACCGACCATCTCTGCTCAATTGCCCTCGGAGAAATTGAAGCACTACCAGAGGGCCCACCAAACCCCGTGAAAGAAGTGGTAGAAGATTCTGAACATTCGGATCCACCTTCCTGACGTTCTCCCACCCCACCTTCATCTCCATCCGATCCTGGCATGATGGCCGAGAATCAAGACAGTGCCACGTTCCTGAATGGAAGCGCGATGAAACCCGATGCCTTTGACGGCACAAAATCCAAGTACATCACTTGGAAGACGCAGATGAAATTGTATGTAGTCACGCAAAGGAAGTGACTACCAGAACAATTTGACAGGGTCCTCATGATCTTGTCTTACATGAAAGGTGGACATGCGGGCGAATACGTCGCCACATTCATGAAGAAATATGACACGGATGAAAACGCTGTGATACAGACCACAAAGACACTGTGGGAAGACCTAGATAGGCACTTCCTAATTGACGAGCAGGTCAAAGCATATGATCGGCTCCAAGCAATGCAGATGGGAATGCTATCGGCACAAGAGTTTTTCTCGAAGTTTGAGTTGTGCGCCTTCCAGGCGAATATTCACGACTTCGAAGCGCACTTCCAAGAACTTAAGTCGCTTCTAGAAAAAGCACTCCGGGCCGATATCATCCGGCTTTTGTACAACTCCTCGGAGGAACTCCCAACCACCTACGCGCTCTACAAGTTACGGATCGCGCGCATTGACCTTAACCAGCAACAATACCGCCGAAGAAACCCACAGTCCTAACGACAGGGACAGTTCCAGCCAAGACAGCAGCAGGCGCAGAACACACCACAAGCACAAACTAATGAACCTGTGCCAGCAGCTGCTACAGCACCAGTTCAGACACGGTGCGACGGAACCGGTGTCACCTTTGGAGGCAGGGGACAACCGATGGAGTTAGATCAGGTGCGGCGCCAGGGTCTCTGTTTCTGATGTGGTCAACAGGGCCATATATCACGAAATTGCCCTAATCGGCAACAAGCTCAACAAGTACGAGCCGCAGAAACCCCGGTAGTTCCCACTACCAATACATTCACGCCACTCGCATCACTCAACAAAGCTCCTGCTGCGACGGCAGAACCATTTGACTGGAAGACGGCAATTCGCGAAGAAATTCGTGCGGCTATGAAGGGTTTTGCAAGTGGTCAGCTGGGCGCGTAGCCGAGTTGACTGAACGTAACTTTACGAACTATCTGTGTTCTTGGTTTTGAGTAGCCATGTATATACCAGAAAAAGGGGCATCTGCAAAGCGGCGCGGAGAGGCTCAACCCTCTTGCTTATTTCCCCTGAATAAAAAATTACCTCTACCTTGAATCAGACTGAATCTATGCAGTGGCAGCGCCACACCCCATGGACAGCGGCATGGATCCGCCAATGGATAGTCAGCAAAGACAAAGCAGCACTCAGACTGTTGACTGAATGGGTACACTCAAAGAAGAGTGTTGATGCCTCCGAAGCCTGTATGAACCAAATCAGGCAAATGAAAGAAGAAGAAGCGATAGACTTCTTGAATGAATTACAAAAGCAGCCTTGATTTATCCGAGGAAGGAAGGGGACACAGATGGACGTCCCCATGATCATCACCACCCTGGACATGCAGCAGCGCTTATCAGTCAAAGCGTTATTAGATACAGGATGCACTGAATCTTCGTTTGATGCGCAGTTTGTCCACGACAACAACATTGCTATAAAGAAACTGCCATCACCAATCCCTGTCTATAACGTAGACGGCACGCACAATGCCGGCGGCGCCATCACCGACTTTGTCGAACTAAGGGTGGAAATTCAGGACCACATTGAAAGACTTCCGTTTGCCATTACCAATCTAGGGAAGACCCCAATCTTTCTTGGATATGAGTGGTTATAGATTCAAAATCCATCTATCGATTGGCAGGAACAAATCATTCAGTTTGATTGGTGCCCGATTACCTGTAAATACGCCGCCCGATTCATTGATATTGATGCTGATCAGGAAGAGCCCAGCGATCCAGAGGCTCGCCTAGAAGAAGGGGATAGAATCTTCATTTTAGACCATGAAACATACTTTGCTATGGGAGCAGCATGTATTCGCACCACAGCCACTGATCTAGCGATCAAAGAAAGTCTGAAACACAAAGCCAAGACCTTTGAAAATACCGTCCCGAGTCACTATCACGATTACTCCAACGTATTTAGCAAAGAAGACTTTGACTCTTTACCGCAAAGATGACCATGGGACCATGCAATCGAACTCACACCAGGCGCGCAACCGATCAGTTGCAAAGTTTATCCTATCTCTGTAAACGAACAAAAGAACTTGATGAATTCATAGAAGAGAACCTCCGAACCAGGAGAATCCGACCATCGAAATCCCCGTGGGCTTCTCCATTCTTCTTCGTCAAGAAAAAAGATGGATGACTTTGACCCGTACAAGATTATCAAAAGCTGAATGAGCTGACGATTAAAAACCGCTACCCACTTCCTTTGATACAGGAACTAGTGGACAAGCTGAAGCAGGCGCGGTACTTTACGAAACTAGACGTCTGATGGGGATACAACAACATCCGCATCAAAGAAGGAGACGAAGAGAAGGTGGCGTTCCTAACGAATCGAGGATTATTCAAGCCACTTGTCATTTTTTTGATCTTACCAATTCCCCGGCTACATTCCAAACTATGATGAACGATATATTCCGAGATCTCATCAGTCAAGGACACGTGGTAGTCTATCTAGACAACATCATGATCTTCACTCAAGATTTAAAAGAACACCGTCGGATCACGCAGCAAGTTCTTCAGATCTTAAGGGAACACAAACTTTATCTGAAACTGGAAAAGTGTGAGTTCGAGAAGGCAAAGATAGAATACCTCGGGATGATAGTAGAAAAAGGAGTTGTTTGCATGGACCCAGTCAAGATAGAAGGAGTCATCAATTGGCCACGGCCCGAGTGCAAACGAGATATTCAGGCATTCCTTGGATTTACCAACTTCTACCGAAGGTTCATCCGAGATTATGGCAAAATAGCAAAACCACTCAGTTCACTAACAGGCAATGCTACTTTCGAATGGATCATCAAACAAGAAGTAGCCTTCACAAGCCTGAAGGACGCTCTCTGCACAGTGCCAGTACTAGCCATACCCAATGACGACGATCCATACCGAGTAGAATGCGATGCCTTGGACTTTGCCGTAGGAGCAGAATTAGCCCAGAGACAAGATGGCAAA